ATCTTTTTGACAATCAATTGGATAGTTTTCTATCCCAGTAAAAATAGAGAGGAAATGTCTGAAAGGGTTATGGCTGTGGAGGTATTTATTTAAGTACATTTCTTGTCATCTAATGCTTATGATGAGTTATAACCAAGTATCTGCTGTGTTTGGCTACTGATGGCAGAGTGCTGTGAACATTCCATTTTTTTTTTTTTATTCACTACGTGCTGTTTTAGGAATGTGGACGCTTCAGTGCTCTGATTGGCTATATAGAATGGCTTGGTCATAGAAGGATTATAATGCTTTGTTCAGCGGTCTGTTCTTGTGGTGACTATCAGCTTTTTGGATGAGACCTGTCAATAATGTTGTGTGTTGAATGGCTAAAAGACAACCAAGCCACTTTATTTTTTGATTGGCTATAAGTTTGTCTGCCTGCCAAAATATCTTAGTGACTCGTTTCTGCCTAGCAACTCTTTTAGCTCTGTGAACATTCACAGCCAGGCTAACTATTATTCAGTTGAACATTGAGGACAGTGCTAACCAGCATGGTAACCATATGCTCTAGGCATATACATGTCCCACTGCTCTTGTTGCTATGGGAAGCCTATACATATTCTAATGTATTTAAAGGCCAAAGGTTGGACAAAATGGTAAATAGTTTAATTAAATTGACATTCCCTAACGAATCTTGGTGAACATTCTTATCATATAATTGTTACAAGCTGGACAACGAAGCTTGGTGGGTAATTTGAAGATGGCAGGTCTAAAGGTGATAATTCCAGTGAAACATTTCTAAATGGCTGTTGGTCAAGAGCAATATGCATAAAGTACAGTAATTGTGGCCCTACATGGATGGATATTTGCAAATGGTAAGACTGATTTGAATATATCTTATGGCAACTGCTAAAATTGATTTGAGCATATTCTATGACAGTTGGAAAAATGAATTAAAACATATCCTATGGCAAATGGTCAGACCAATTTTTATATATCGCTGTGTTAACGGCGATATTTCCGTGTTTGCGGATGACACCAAAATAGGGAGGGTAATAGACACGGACTTAGACACCATAACATTACAGGAGGACCTGGATAAAATAGGGGAGTGGGCATTAATGTGGCAGATGAGGTTTAATGTCGATAAATGCAAAGTAATGCACTTTGGAATTAAAAATAAACAAATGGGTTATACAATTATGGGTATGCCGCTAGGGAAGTCAGAAATGGAGAAGGATTTGGGGGTCATTGTAGACCACAAACTGAAAGGTAGTTTGCAGTGCCAGGCTGCTGTAAACAAAGCTAGCAGGGTCTTGTCCTGTATTAAAAAGGGGATGTATTGCAGGGACAAGTCTATAATTTTGCCACTTTATAGATCATTGGTTCGACCTCATCTGGAGTACGCGGTCCAGTTCTGGTCACCAGTACTAAGAAAAGATGTCCTTGAGTTGGAAAAAGTCCAGCGAAGGGCAACCAAACTAATTAGGGGTATGGAGGACCAGAGCTACGAGACGAGGCTACTAAATTTAAACATGTTCACATTAGAGGTGAGGAGATTAAGGGGGGATATGATTTCCATGTACAAAATGTTTAATGGTGGTAGCAACATTAGCGATAAACTGTTTAAAATTAACTCCGTTACAAAAACTAGAGGCCATCACCTAAAATTGGTGGAAAAAAAATTCCAGCACAAGGGGCGAAGGGGGTTCTTCACAGTAAGATCAGTTAGGGTCTGGAACTCACTGCCACAGGCGGTGATTTCAGCAAATAATGTGGAATTGTTCAAGAAACTTTTGGACGATTTCTTAAGGGACCGTAATATACAGGGGTACGGGTACTCCTAGAATGAGATCCTAATAGGTTGGACTTGATGGACTAATGTCTTTATTCAACCTCAAATACTATGTAACTATGTAATTTGAGTATAACCTTTGGCCAATAACCAATGGTCAAGTTGATTTTACTATGTCCTATTGCAACTGATAAGATTAATTTGAGCATATTCTATAGCAACTAGGCAAATTATTTTGAACATATCCTATGGCAAATGGGCAGACTGATGTATACATGAGTAATAATGGGTGAACATGACACTGCTCATTGGATCTTCCAATGTGTTGCAAATATATCTACCAATGCTCATTGCTAGAGGGAAAACAATAAGCTCTACACATAAGCTGAATCTGAACATTGACTGAGTTGAATAATAACTCATGGCAAATCCTCATGGTGTAGTAGTCCAAATAAACACATACAGATCCTTGACTGCCTAATGTTCTCCGTGAGAGATCAGCCGATGTATGCTTGGCCTTACCCAAAGCAACCACAGCAATCACGTCTTCTCACCATTTCAAAACGATCAAAGGTAAAAACTGGCGTTACTGCACTTTGCAAATAACAGTTGCCCTTTCCCACCAATTGATTAAAGTGAGAAACGTATTGAGGCTGCCATTACCCCCTTCCTCTGAAGATGCTAGATGTCTGACTGTGTATGACTTTAATACTTTTGAGTTACATGCCTGAAACAAGCATGCTTTAAAAGCAATTGCAGCCCCCATACCTTTCTCACGTTAGAATCACTTTAAAAAGGTTGACAGAGAAATTACAGACAATATCTACAGAGGCATTATCTAATGATTAAACTAATGTGACTAAATGAGGCAGGAATGCCTTTACAACCCCCTTAGTGGACAGTAAACAGCACGCATAGTCTTAAGCATATACATCAGTGCATTTCTTACAATTATTTATTCTTTAATTAAAATTTATATTAACATATTAAAACAAAAACTATGTACAGTTTGTTCAACACATACAAAAGTATAGGTTATTATTTAATTAAATATCTGTTGTCTTTTTTACAGTACAATAATAATAATAATCACGCAGAGTCTAAAAAAAACGCTGCACAGAACCGACCTATGTACATTATAGACAAACTTACCTATCTAGGTATATCTATAGATATTAATTCCATTGAACTTTCTCAAACTCGCAGTCTGCATGTGTGTATGGGAAGAGTATAGCTACTGATATATGGTTGCTGTGACAAGGGTTCGGCAGGTACAAATACAAACAAAAAGCATCAAAATGGACCGCTCCACCAGAAGATAGAGGGCAAAATGAGTCAAAATCTATTTAAAAAAAGGAGGATGTAGTGGAAGTTCTGCAGGACGCTGCCCCAAACCAGCCAGGGGGACTGCAAAATCTGGGGGGAAAACACAAACAAGGGGTGCCTTTACTAGTGCAGACAGGTTTATTAAGATTAAAAAGCAATTGATGAGAATAATACTCACAAGAATAAAAAAGAATGGAGCTTTGTATGAAAATATATAGACCAAAATGTAAGCCAGTGGCAGCTCCACAGCCGTTCCTGTGTGCCAGTAAGGTGGGCTGTGATAACGCGTGACAGCTGCACAGCCGTTCCTGTGTACCAGCAAGGTGGGCTGTGATAACGCGTTTCGGGGGTCACGCCCCCTTCATCTAGAATCTGATGCAGGGGGCGTGACCCCGGAAACGCATTATCACAGCCCTCCTTGCTGGCACACAGGAACGGCTGTGCAGCTGTCACTGGCTTACATTTTGGTCTATGTATTTTTATACAAAGCTCCATTCTTGTTTATTCTTGTGAGTATTTATTCTCATCAATTGCTTTTTAATCTTAATAAACCTGTTTGCACCAGGAAAGGTGCCCCTTGTTTGGGTTTCTCCCCCAGGGTTAGGCAGGTGTTTATAAAACTCAAGCAAAAGAAACTCTATGTTGCCCTATACAAACAATACAATCCCACCTATAAGTGCAGGTTAGGAAAAGGGCATCTTCTTTTCTTTTCCTCTGCTTGTGTTTATAAAGATGAGCCTATTTCATATACAGCATCTGCTGTAGCTGTACAACATCAGCATATTTGTTTCAAGGCTAATTCAATCTGACAGTTGGTAGCCAGTGTCAGAAACCATTTATCAGCTTTGAAACTAGTAAGAACTACAATAAGTTAGTGAAATTAAATAAACTCGAAGCAGTTTTTTTATTAGCAGAAACAAAATATCCATTGCCTACTTTTCAGTTTAAAACTAAGCCTACCCCAACAGGTTCTCCAGGTTAGAGACCATGGCAGCACACTGTATGACCTCCAACCTTTGAGGGTCAGAAGGATTGCAGAAGTGGAGCATCTTCCCTTGAGTTTCTCTTTCAAACAACCCACAAAGGACACTATAAAGGAAAGATAGACTTGCTACTAAATTCTACATGTTTTTAGTTTGACATATTTTAAAGGAACAGTTGGAGGAGCGTATTACCCTTTTTCAGCGTGGTAATGGCCTAGGTGGAGCACCAGAGGTCAAGAGATAAAATAAGTTAGTAGGTGACAAATCCTGCCAACGTACATCCAAAACTGAGATTCCAGGCTTGGCCAACACAAAACTGAGGCAGCCATGTTGTGGTAATTTTTAATTATCTGATAGCTTGAAACAGTTTTACAGTTTCAGACCTAAGAGCTGCAGAGTGGGATTCACTATCTGTACTTACAACAATGGACTGAAAGTAGCCTTTTTCTTGTCCCCTAGGTTTCAATATAACAGTTATCTCTGTTTTAATTTTTTTTATATATTTTATTTTACCATTCTCTTGCTGTCTGAAATATACAAAATATATTACAGTTTTATATACATACTGATATGGTCTTCAGCTTAGGTAAAATTTAAAAGCATGACCTCTGTATTATGGTTGTGGTTTACCATAAGACTGGTCATGAAAGGAGAAAAATGAGATCTACAGCAAGATTATTCAGCTATTAAATATTTCCAGCCAATATGTGCAGAATGTGCAGAGATCTGTTTGGGTAAAGGGAATATGTAACACACATACTGGAGGCAGCTGTGTTTTAACCAGGGATGACCCAAGTAAACAAACACCTCTGACATTGCAATGACGATGCAGATAAAGAATTAAAGATTACAGATACTAGAAAGTTACTTGTTCTAAGGATAGAATCTCATCTATAAATAGCTCTTTGAATCTGAAAAACCCCCTCAACTACTAAAACAATCCCACTATATTATTGCCTCCCCTGTGTCCAGACAGCAGGTACAACTCTGTAATAAACCTGATCCATCTTTTTAAAAGATAAACTGAAAAACCTTCCAGATTATGTGCGTATACATAATTATTTAAAAAAAAATACAATTCTAAACACTTGCGATATAAATACATTAGGGTGAATAAGGCTTAAATAAAACAGAGCTGTTACAGAAGATGACCGAGATGGAAATGAGTATTTCAGTAAATTTATAAATTGGTTTATATGTCTCCTGGAAAAAGGCAGAAGACAGAAAATAAAGTTGAGGGAATACGTCATGAAATACTCATGGAAGACATACATCCCTGACTTCTTCTCAAGAGAAAACACAAGCACCTAAAATCATTACTAAACTCCTAAACGCAACATATTATCTAGTCAGCCTGCCAAAAATCCTTAACGTAAAAAAACAGATCACATTCCTTGTCCTAAGGCAGAAAGAAATATGTGCTGCTCATACATTTAAAAAGGTTCCTGGGCACACACAAATACATATCCTGCCCCAAACCACTAATAGATATAACAAAAATCAATGCTTCATAGACTTTACAGTGCAACTACTTTCATAATACCTCAAGAGAATTTTAATCTTGTAGAAATTAAAATAATACCCATTGTTACTAAACTTTCTTTAAGCCATTTAACATACATACGAAACCTCGTCTGCTAATGGTGGTGAAGATATATCTTAATTACATCTTTACGTTAATGGCTTTTGTGGAAACTTCATTGGAAATTGTTTTCTGGTTCAACTTCCTATACATTTAAAAAAAACCTGTCTTTTTCTTCATTAATTAATTCTCTGACAGATATTTGCCTGACACAATCACTTGCATGATATATATTTTTGCACTGACATATATGTATAGCAGCTCAGTCAATAAGGTGCATTATAGCTACCAAGCAAAATAGTGAATGTAATTTTCTGGACACCAAAATGTTTCCTTTTAAAGAATTATATCTCCTACGAATTAAAGTGATCCTGTGCCCAGATTATGCACACTAAATTATTAACATATTCTGAACAAGCAGTAAAAACACTTTTAGACAAGCAATCAGTGGTCTATGTTTTAATATTACGGCCAGATCCTTCGGCAGCTTTGTGAATAGACCCCTATGTGTTATTATTGGTAGTGCGCTTACCATTTTCTGTTTCAGTGGTCTATGTTTCCCTAAGTGTTGTGGAGAAATTAATTTTCAAAGTTCACAACACATTGAAATCTTTGTTTATGCTGGTTTTATACCAGCCTGCCAGCCCTCTAATGCAATCACAGAGGAGCTGTTAAAAGTAGAATAAAACCTGTCTCTAGAGTCGTTTTGATCTTTGAGGATCTTTTACATTAAAAAACATTTAGAGAGGTCAATAAGGGTTTTTGAAGCTATGTTACTGCTTGTTTAATGTGTAAATAGTTTCATGTGCATAGCCTAGTCACAGGTAAACTTTAAGCTACATTTGCTTCAGCACAACTTCAATCAATAATCAATAATAGGTATAAACTTTAACCCTTATTTACTAAAGGAGAAGGGCACGTTCACTTCAAAATGAATTTGCTCTTATCTTAGTGAATGAAGTAAAACAGTGAAAATTAATTTTGTAAAACACCCAATCATAGGCAAAAAAGATTAAACAAAAAACCCAGAGTTTTTACTTGCACATGATTAGATGATTGAAGTCAGCACAAATTCACCTCATTAACTAAAATAAGTGAAAATTCACTTTGAAAGTGAACATGCTCTACTTCTTTTGTAAACCAACCCCAATGTTTTACATGTCTCCAAAGTTTGCGAACATGACTTAACCTGTTATTCATTCTTATTTAGTATAGATTGTGTATGTCTATAACATTAGCCATTATCTGTGTCCAATGGACCTGGATCCCTTAAATCTAGATGCACAATATACTGTACAACTAATTTGACAGAATGGCATGGTTCCTAGTAATATGCTTAGATACAGTGTATTCAGATACATGCCAAAATATTCAAATAACCCTGGGTACACTTATAGCTGGAACAATTTGAAGATTAGTCTTTGGAGACATGGTCCTTCAACTTTGAACTGGTATATCTCAGGAAGATTGATCGCTTCCTATACAATAGAGTTAGTATTAGAATGTAGTTAAGTGAGACATCTCCAATCCTTTCTGGAAGCATATTCAGTACCTTCATTTTTAAAATCACAATCTTTCATAATAATGATTAGAGTCATCTTAGTGGGCTCCTCTACGTTCTGATGCATAATGTTTTCTTCTTTGTTTTGAGGTCCGTGAAAGCTGTGTTTTTCTATCCAAATGTGTGATAGTAATCTCTTTGCTTTGTGAAACTATGTCTCCACTGTATGTGTTTGTGGCTCTGCACTCATACACCCCTGAGTCAGCCTGAGTGGCATTATGCACAGTCGCTGTTAAAATGGTTGAGTATTCAGTTGTAGTAGCACTTCTTTGTTTGCTGATGCTGTGGTTAATTGTACGATTCCCAACTCGCCTGCGCAGAATCCAGCTTATGTTGGTGTACAGATATTTGTTAACAGAGCAAGTTAATGTCATGTTTTCACCTTCTTTTGGTACCTTGTCCAAGGTTATGTGAAATCCATTTGCTACATCTGGAGAAATAATAAACAGCTCAATTTAGTTACAACTTTTAGGCCAAGGTCTTATGTATTACAAATGGTTTATTGAGAAACTACAAGTTAGCAACTGCCTATTGACTAAAAGTATATTGAATAAATACAAATCTGACACAAAAAAAGCATTAACTCTTGCTGCCCGCAATCTGTATATTAACATTTTCCAGCCCGATGCCCCATCCAGAGGATGTGTTAGAGGAGAACTATGAGGTGAGTGAAAATCACTCAGCCTCATAGTTTGAGCCGACGTCTGACAATGAAACTGTCACACATCTGCTCAATAGATCGGGAAGTGAGCGAACACATACCGTCTCTCACGCTCACTCCTCGATCCTGTCTCAGCAGAGAGCCGTGGCTGTCAGTCACGGCTCCCTGCAGGGATTCCCCCCCCTGTCCGATCCTCCAGCGCTGACTGGCGTAACAGACGGGGGAGGAGGCGGGTACAGCTGGCTCTGCCTCTAGATAGGCAGAGCCAGCTGTCAATCACGCAGCTGGGTGGATCTCGACAGTAATGTCGGGATCCGTCCCAGCTGCGGCGGGCTCAGGATACCGCGAGCTATACTGAGCTTTGGGTCACGGGAGGATGCTAGTTTGTGTCCTTCCATGACCCTGGGGAGAACTATGGGGAGAAGCACTGACCCCATAGTTCTCCTTTAATAATTGCCCTCCTCTTGAGAGCCACCAGCTTACACTGTGCGGTTGCTTGCTTTCAAACTTGGTTGTCACTGACCGCTTCAGTTTCCATATATGACTGAGAACTATTCAGGGTGGTTCCTAATCATCTGATCACTATGTCACCTATGACGCAGTGATGGCATGCAGGCTGTAGGCTCCATTGACAAAATAAGCCTTTTGCCGTCAAATTAACACTGCCACCTTCAGACTTCAGTGGCACCTGAAGTGCCATCTCTTTAATACTTTACGTGTTTGATACAATTACAAAAATAGAAAAAGTTGAAAAATTGCATTTGTATTATTTTGCACATTTGTACACAACCTACAATAAAAAAGACTAGGGCTCTATCTTCTAATAAAACAATGTTCCTTATAAAAGCTATCTTTAATTTCATACCTTTAATACTATGGGGTCTATTCACTAAGCTGCCGGCGGCAGCCAAGTGAATAATCGACCCGAAGTGAAGTGAGCCGAACTCTGTTCGGCTATTCACTTCAGGCTTGTGCGGCTAATTTCAGCAGTGTATTGGCTGAAATCACCCGTACATCGGGTGGCTTCGTGTGGCTTTGGGTCGGCCAAACATGCTCAGTCGAGCCGAGGCATATGCCTTTGGCTCGACTGAGCCGCTTGGCCAACTTTGGGAGCTGTACGGGCTATAGTGAATAGCCCGTACAGCAGCCCTTCGGTTCTACTGAACCGAAGGGGTCCTGGGGCCGAAGCTAGCCGAAGGATCAGCCGAAGCTACGGCTAGATCCTTTGGCAGCTTAGTGAATAGACCCCTATGTGTCAGATACAATTACATCATTAGAAAAAAAATACATTAAAAATAAAAGCCTTATATGTCCTTAAAAATATAACATTTATTTGGGTATGAAAATTAGCCAAAGAGTAATTGTCAAGTTAAGCTGCCATTGGGCTGTTTATCAAGGCATGGACAATAATTAATATAATTAAATATAACCTCTTTTGATGATGGGAAAAAATGTACAAGAATCACCATCCATGTCCTTCAAAAAAATGTGTTTCATTTTCTCTGTGCCAGCAATGAATAAAGTGTTTACAGTAATGAATTACGTTATGAATAAGTGTAAAAAAGAAGCCACATCTGACACACATCGATTTAAATAGAAAATTTCAAAGCCTTATCAACATAATCTTTTTTACCCTGAGGTCACTGTAATATTGAAAGAAATGTTCTTTCTTTCTTTTGGATTTTATGTTCTTATAACATTTCCTTGATGTCATAAGAAAGTCACACTTCGTTCTGAACAGTTGATGAAACCAGGGAAGAACATTTTTGTAACGCAGTGCGTAACCCCCCC